AAAATTTAGAAGTATAAGAGTACATTCGTGCAAGAAAATAACAATTTTACCCTCTGCCTTTTATAGAAATATTGGAATTGCAAACTTTGGTCATGCACATTCTCATTTTGGTCGCTATCCAGATTGATGATTGAAGACCCTTGCAGTATATATACAGTACTTAAAATCCAGGAGCAAGAATATCTATATATACAGCGTGTCATATAAAACATGCATGCATTGTGCTTTCCCCGTGATTAAGCCTATAATTTTAACTTGTGTATGTCTGTAACTGTGTATAAAAACAAGATGAAACAAATGCTTTGTGAAACGTGACTAATAAAATATATGTTTATGTTTTAAATATTTGTGTATATAGCCTATAATTGTGAAAGGCATCCTAATTGTTGGAGACAATCGTGCAGCAACCATGCAGCGTACCAAGGAATTATGCTTAAATTTGCAGGTCGAAAGTGCTATTGTAGCGTGAATTGTGAAAGAATCTCTTCGTGCATGGAGTAGAAATTACACTATTCCATGGTGGGCAAATTTTACTCTACCCGTATTTTTACCCTCTAAAATGGGGTAATTTTTAGGACAAAACAGTTACCCTCGTTTTTGGAGTAAAATTTGCTCCTTAATCTTCGAGTAAAATTTACTCCCTACTGAAAGTTACCCTAAAAAACTGGGGCGTTTTTAGGACAAAATTTTACCCCACTTCTTGGAGTGACTTTTACCCTTTGAATTTTACTGTGCACTTCCCAAGCGCATGTGGTACAATACGGGCCATCAACGCATCCAGACATACGCAGAGTGACATGGGGCCAGAGTGCTCAAACAACCACGAGGGAAGTGAGCTTTGCATTATTGCTAATGGACACCCAATTAACTCCACAGAGTGCGTCTACAACACCGAAGTGAAGGAGCGTAATAGTACAATCTGCAGACATGCATGTTTCGGCGTCCAATGCCTCATCAGTGCAGCTTGGTACACATCGAGACACGCGATAACTTTCGTATTGATATACATAACACTTCCCAAGCGCATGTGGTACAATACGGGCCATCAACGCATGGGGCCAGAGTGCTCAAACAACCACGAGGGAAGTGAGCTTTGCATTATTGCTAATGGACACCCAATTAACTCCACAGAGTGCGTCTACAACACCGAAGTGAAGGAGCGTAATAGTACAATCTGCAGACATGCATGTTTCGGCGTCCAATGCCTCATCAGTGCAGCTTGGTACACATCGAGACACGCGATAACTTTCGTATTGATATACATGACACTTCCCAAGCGCATGTGGTACAATACGGGCCATCAACGCATCCATATATATATATATATATATATATATATATATATATATATATATATATATATATATATATATATATATATATATATATATATATATATATATGTATATACAGGGTGTATCAAAAAAAGGCAATCCTCGACTGAAATGTAAATTGCTAAACAAATAATAGACGAAAACGTTAAAGTTTACATTCATTTTAAAGCGTAGCTATTCAGCTTTCTAACAGTGGGTTGTTTCTTAAATTTGACCCATTGGTTCGCGGGTAATAATACTTTACATTATTGTGATTGGAGATTATGATAGAATTAAAATAGGGTTGCCTCTCGATAAAATAGCATAAAAATAGTGGTAATAGTAATAAAATAGTTTTAAAATAGCAATATAGTATAGTTCTTTTCGCAAGGGTATATTACAAAACAATTATACCATTCGCTCTCGTCGTCTATCAGCTTATTTACGACTCGCATATATTAATTAGCTATCAGCTCATATACGACTCAAGCTCATGGTATAATTGTTAAATATATCATTAACTAAAATACAAAACAATAGATACTCCCAAAATTGAAAGCATTTTGAAAAATTTATTTCGACGTTTCGACTAAACTATAGTCATCATCAGGAAATGAATTCATTTCCTGATGATGACTATAGTTTAGTCGATACGTCGAAATAAATTTTTCAAAATGCTTTCAATTTTCGGAGTGTCTATTGTTTTGTATTTTATCAAAATACTCAGTGGTTCCCGTAATATCATTAATTACTGTACTTAATATATAATCAGGTACCTGACTTTAACAATGAGAGTTAGTGTAGTCTTGAAATTCAGCTTCGTGAGTAAAACTGTATGTTGTCGATGAGTCAAATTCTCGCAAGTAGATTTTACCACTTGTAATCCATAAGTATACTTGAAGTTATTTTCCCTTTTAAATGCATGAATTTGGGTGAACAGTCTTGCGAGTTGTTGTCAACGATTCGTTGATGATAATTTTACTTGATCTTATTTGTGGAGATGAGTTGTTATCAGCTTCCCCTTGAATTGATGGCAAATTATTGGAGGTATATATTTCCTTTGAGTTTAGATCGATTCCAATAGAACTCCTCTCTTTTATCGCGAGAAATAAATTTCACAATGATACGGTTCTTAATTTTCTTTGTATCAGGAAGTTTGTGTTCTGTTGATACTTCGTTTTCCTTTAATTCCACGTACGTCAATCTGTGTCGCCAATTCCAATTTATGTGCTTCTCAATCGTCAAAATCTTCTTATTTGTCACTTGCATTGACTCACGTATTTTGTCGTATTTATCATCGATGAATTTCTGGGAGTCTCCAATTTTGTCTAGACGAGTGGTCAAGTTCTTTATATTGTCATGTATAACGAAGACATTTCTGCTCGAATTTCTTTCCTTTTACTATAGGCAATAGTTCGTTCTCCCACATCTGTTTAAACGCACAAACAGTAAGTAATATTTTTGTTTCCACTCATTTTGAAAGCATAAATATAGAAAGCTTTTAGCTGAAATACCTGATGTTTTATTACAATTATGCGGACATTACAAAAACACGTCCGCCATCTTGACCGCGCTCGGCTCAGCCCCACGAGCAAAAAAACCCTAATACAGTTCAATTTGTTCTGGATTGTTCACATGCATAATTGAAATCAGTGCCTTCAGTCAATTGCGTTGCCATTTACGGGCTTCCAGAAGCCTTAGCGGGCACATTTCGAGCGCGTCGTTTTGGAAATTTTATTACGCTGGTTGATAATATGGCCAAGTTTTCTTAAAATATTGAAGAAAATAATATAAAAATACTCAAATTTTTGAAGATTCACACAATAATTTTAAATGTAAGTGTTCAACTATGCCAATGTTTTGAAGTTTCGTTGGTAAATATGTGCCACAAATAGTTGTATTCATTTTTAATATACCATACATATTTACATTAAATTATAAAAAAAATATCTATGTTACAAGAAAAGAGTGCATAGTGGCCAAAGGAGCAAACGCTTTCGAGTTGGCCACTACGTCCATTATGAAGTTAATAGGAGAAGTGAACAGCACAAATGATGTAGAAATAAGTTATATTATTAAGGGATTTCTAACTGTACTTTAATAGTTTTATAAAATGTATAACAGTCTAATTGTATGTTAATATAGGCAACAAATGATTATAATACATTCTTGTGTTTCTTTGTTGGGTCCATCATTAATATTCATTAATTAAATATCTGTATTTGGTTCAACAATATATCGTTACTAAATACATTAAAAGTTTGTGATATTGCTTTGTGTTTGAAGATTATAGTTTCAAGCTATGAATATTGTCATAATATGACCAAGCAAGTCGAACTGTCGATAAATAAAACGACAACAAACTAGAATATTTACTACATGCTACAAGAAGGTATAAATATTGTTTACAATGTATTAACTGAGACTGTATCAATATTGACTTAGCAAATATAAATATTGCTATAATAGCCAAAGTAAGTTCTATGGCTTTGTATGAGAGGAGAATAATTTCTCCTTTCTGTTTAATATTTATATTGTGTTATCAATATATACCATGCATACAACCCTAAATATACATGTTACTGAATTTCCTGAATGCATTCAGGATATATGTCTCTCGTATTTTTTTCTGTGTTGGTGTCATGTACTCAGGTTGACATGTATTCACCTACATTGCGCTAGTATTCTAAACGTCGTAGATTCGAGTCCCACCATGGCCAGGCATATTTTTCAAGCTTGCCCGGTGTGGATATATACCAGTGTAAATCGTACACTGTAAATTCAGAAGAGTAGTTTTGACCCCTAGGGGTCATTTCCGTCCCTTTGGAAAGAGGGTAGTTTCTACTCCTCGAAAGGGTCGTTTCAACTCCAAGGGTAGTTTTGACTCCATGGAAGGGTCAAAATAACTCTTCGCGGGAATCTTGCGACTCCACATGAGAGTAACATTACTCTTCGAAGGGCCAATTTGACCCTTCCCGGACAAGGAGACAAGACAATACAGGAGAAAAGACAATATACAAAATTTTGTCAGTTCTTTGAAGATATTCCTTCTTCAAGCATTTTATTTAACAAAGACTATACTAATTATTAGTATAATTGTAGGCTATAAACAACAGAACAAGACGAAATATATATTAGCCAACGTGTTTGAGACTAAGGTGTCTCTAGTAAGTCTAGTCACTCTAGTGTGAAATCCGGTCTCCTCAATTTCGATACCAACGTTTTGATTGTGTTAATTTTAAATTCTCCACGAGTTCATGGAAACTATATTATAGTCATACAGTGTTTGTTTGTAGAGGCGAAAAAATTCTCACGATGAGCGTGGTTTGACAGACTGGTGCCTAGATTTCCTACCGCACGCGCAAAGCTTTCTGGGATAGCATCATCACACTGACACGCCATGTTTTTGAAATTTATATTTTCATTTTTATCGCCTACAAACATTCGCTTTTTAACCGAGGTTAATACATTTTAAAGAATATGAAATATCAGGGATCACTGAGTAATATTCAGGTAAGAATATTGTTATGTTTTATACATAATAGAGCAATTTAGAAAGGAAATATTTACTATCTTCATTCGTGAATTTCGAGCGTGTGTTCCAGCTTAAAATTTGAATATTTGCCGCGACAATATTTGAATTAAAACGATGATATAATTATAAAAGGCTTACATTTGACCAGCCTTTAAATCTAATTAGATTTATTGTAAATGCCAAATAGTGTAGAACTTTGTGTATATGACAAATTGCCAGATTCCAGTGTTTCTTGTATAAAATAATATAGATGCCTACTCAATCCTCATATGCCTACCTAGGTATGTCCCAGGTAAACATGCTTTGAGAGAATTTATCAACTTGTTTCAAATCAACTGCTACTTTCATGGCAAGGGTGTTGATGTTTTTTAATTACAAATTTGACTCCAATGAACACAATTTTCAGCACATTGTTGAATAACATCGATCTTGTCTGATGCTGGACAATTTTATTCATCAAGGGAAGTGTCTAGCTATAGACTCTTCTCATGTTTCATGTTATTGTTGACATATTTTTTAAAATGGAATTTTCACTCCATCACCTTTTAACACCTACGAAGCAATTTTCTTTTATGTTACCTACTTCAAGTTCTCTGTAGGGATGTGCAGGATAGAATCGTTTTGCTATCCAGCCAGATACAGGATATATGTTGAATAGTTAAAAAATATCCAGCCAGATTCAGGGTATTAGGAGCTGATTACATGGACCAGGCTAGCCCGGCAAACCTGGTTAGCCCGATTACTATAATAATCTCATAAAAATTTTGAGTTTCAATTACATATGGCAGCCGGGCCAGCCCGCTTTGCCAGGAATCCTGGCTTTTGCAACCGAGCATATCGGGCTGAAAATTGCAAACACATGGTTTTTATTTTGAAATTATTAACAAATAATAGCACAAAAATCACAAGTTTGCACTAAAGCACTGCTTTTGAGCATTAAATAAACCCTTAAACGTTTTAGATAGTGAATCGACTGGATTTAGTGGATCATAAGCGAAACAATACCTAATACAAATACATCAACAAATACTAATCACAATGTAGGGAAGCCCTAAAATTCCGCATATACTGTTAACATTCTTTAGTTATAATATCCAGCAATGATTATTCAAGTATTAAAACTTTTCAATATAATGAACTTACTTCAGCCCAGTTAACCGGGCAGGCACACTACATGTAATTGTAAATTAAAAGTCATCTTGCTCAGCTGTCCGGTCCATGTAATCGGCCCCTTATTCAAATATATAAGGTCCAGCGGCCTCATTTAAGGTTAAGTAATAATTTTAATTGGTTAAAGAGTAATGGTGTTAATAATACTTTGATTTGAAATAATAGGAATGAATTTCGCAGTCTAGTACTGGTAAACATGCATCATTGGTAGTAAAAGCCTCACTTGCATTAGTTCAAAGGGCAAACCTGCATGTACAAAAATTTGAAAATAGTGTAAGCATTCCTGTGATCAATCCATTGGATAAAAATATGATAAACAACTCACCTTTTTTAACCTGATCAAATCATATTCTAACTTGTAACGAAGGCCTGAACCTTATATAAATAATATCCAGCATTGGGCGGCCAGGTCTACCATAAAATGAAGTAAAAACTCAGTATCTGGCCAGATATGATATCCATTGCATCCCTAGTTATTTGTTATGTTTCTTTGTTTTAAAATTCCAACTTTACTTAATTACTTGTTAAGGAGAGAGTGTTGGATATACGTCTATGAGATGACTGTATATTCTTGGTATTCAATTTTCTTATTTAATTAATTAAATATATGCACCTTTTGTACCCTTTTATAGTTAACCCTCAGATGTATAATGGCTTCCCTTCCACATGCACTGGGAGACAGACAGACCCACCAAAACAAGACATGTAAGCTTTTTTTGCGATTCTTCATGCAAGTTTACTAAGGCCCCGTTTACATGAGACCGGAACGAAGTCAAACCGGGACCATCTCGTTTCGGTCATAGTATTATCTATAATAGATGTTTACATGAGACCGGGACGAAAATAACTCAGACCGGTCTCAAGTCATTCCGCCTTCTGGACCGAACCGACTGACTTCAGACCGGCATGAATTCAGACCGGGATGAATGTAAACACAAATACATTTCAGACCTGTCTCGGCTGTAATCTTGACATTGGAACAACACATGCTAGCAAAAGCCACCTGAAAAAGAAAATTGCCTGGCAAGGGGAATAAATTGAAGATTTTGTGATCCTCGTACCGGTCTCAATGTAAACATGTTGACAATTTCAATGTTCATTCCGGTTTGACTTCGTCCCGGTCTCATGTAAACAGGGCCTAACATTTTTCTTTGTAATGTAGGTTTGAGACCCATTGCGCCCTGCTTTATTATTTTACTCTTTCTAACGCCATACGATTTACTTGTCAAGGGGAGAGCTCTGGTGCTTAATGGGTTAAGCATTCAGGAGTTTCAGAATAAGCCGGACGCCGCCGGCTACTTGAACTTGTGCCGCCGGCTACTTTTCATCTGGTCACAGGAAAAATTTTATATACAAAGGTATAAGTGAACCAACACGATGCTTCTTATGTTCCAATTGGGGTTCAAGCAAAACATCACTTATTTTGGAAGATGAATAAGATCAATAATACATAGTACCAAACATAGCTTGCTTTCTTAAGTTGCTTTGTTTTCGCGTCACCATCTTGAATTTTGTAGCAAATGGTCAGCGACTCTGAATCTTCCTGAACAGGAAGATGACTCTGATTGACTCTGACGAATTTGACAGTGAGCCAGAGAACGAGTCAGATTCAGAGCTACTTTGGTAAATGTTTTTCAAGTGACTAATTCTTTGACAGTGAATTAATTATAATAAAGTGATGAAGTAAAGTTTATTACGTACATAAGTATAGCATCATTTAATTAATGATTTTGAACTCATAAATTAATACTAATAGTGTACATTGTCATTATGGTCATGCAGCTGTACTAGTAAACTACTAGTAGCACATTAAAGTGCATTGTCACTTACAAGTATAAATGCAAATGACATCTAAATCTAACATGTTAACAGTTGTACTTTGTCTTTTTACTTATTCTATATTATTTGATTGTTATCAACTATCACTCACAGCCGGCTAGTATTTTGGTACAGCTGCCTACTTTTTTGGTACAGCCACCTACTTCAAATCATTCTGAAACCCCTAAGCATTATTTATATTTTTAAACTCTGTAATGCTGTCATGCAATGCCATTGTGAACCAATTGAACCATACTGTACCATACTATTAGCATTAATGGTACCAAGATGTGATGGTCTTAACTCTTTAATAATTCAACACACAAGTGGCTGTCGAAACATTAAATTATAACTGTATGAAGCCACCTGTAAATGACTTCTTGAACTATAACATGTTCCTAGTTTGTAGCATTCAGCTTTGTTATCCATACAATTGCCTGTATACAGTAGTGCTTTAATTTGCAAAACTGTCCATTTTTGAGTAACTATATGCAGGGGTGTGGTTTAGTTATTAGTTATGTATAGTGTATAGTAGTTTGGTTAATTAAGTTTAATTTACCACGTCTAACCCCAGGCCTAGAGCAAGTGTCATTTGTGTATTCAAGTTTGATTCAATATAAAAAGAGAATTAATTTTAAACCTCTCTGCCATTGTGGTAATTAATTGTCAGTATTCAAGGTTGCAAACCAAAAGTTGAGTAGTGTAATTAACTGTTCTAGTAAGAATAGTGTCTGAATTAATATTTATAATTGTGAGTACTATGCACTGATTAATAAATGCAACATATTTTGTAGGGAACTGATGATGTGAACCGCCATATTAAATCGACAGTCTCACCTGCAATCCTTTTGTGTGGTACCTCTGTGTTTGATACTTTGGTTATATGTATGTTGTTGAGAAAGGAAAGTGCTGTGTGACGCTTTACGTGAATTCAAACTTTTAGACTGTCTAAATCTGTTACTTTTCGTCCAATACTCGTACAATTTGGATTTATATAAAGTCCAGAGAAGTGCAATGATATTTTTAGAGAAAGAGAGAAATCAACCTTAAGTTTGCAATGAACTCTAATAACCAAATCCCTCTTAGTGTTAGTCAAGTTTTTACTCTGTTGGGTCAGTGAAGGATTAAGACTTTAATGCATTCTCTTTATGTTTATGCTTGTATATAATTAGCATTTAGTGGCGTATTAAATCCATTTTTTAAAAGTAGTGATTTGTCTGTTTAATTACGTCCCATCTTATTTTCTGCACTGAAGGCTATGTTACACGAAACGATATTGAACGATGATTTATTGATTTTTGAATGTTAGAAATCATTTACATATCATATCATACCTAAATATTGTGATGATGTGTAACAGCTTATGACAAAATTTTTACAGAGAGTTTTGGATAGCTGAAACGACCTTTTTGAATAGCTGAAGCGACCCTTTTGAATAGCTGAAGCGACCCTTTTGAATAGCTGAAACGACCCTTTTGAATAGCTGAAACGACCCTTTTGAATAGCTGAAACGACCCTTTTGAATAGCTGAAATGACCCTTTTGAATAGCTGAAACGACCCTTTTGAATAGCTGAAACGACCCTTTTGAATAGCTGAAACGACCCTTTTGAATAGCTGAAACGACCCTTTTGAATAGCTGAAACGACCCTTTTGAATAGCTGAAACGACCCTTTCGAATAGCTGAAACGACCCTTTTGAATAGCTGAAACGACCCTTTTGAATAGCTGAAACGACCCTTTCGAAGGGTAACGTCCCTACCCTTTGAGGAGTTAAAACTACCCTCTGAAAAGGGTAGAATCTACCCTTTCGAAGAGTAAGCGCCGAAGGGACTGAAACGACCCTTTTGAAAGGGTAGTCCTGGGGTCAAAAAAACTACTCCTTTGAAGGGGTCAAAACTACTCTTTTGAATTTACAGTGTCACAAACATCATCTTTCTCATATTTATACCTCTGAGGAATCCCAAGCTCAAAAATTAGAGCGTACCCCTGATTTCCCTGAAGAAATATCCCAGTATACTAAGTATTATATATGCAGACCCTAATTTGGCATTAGTAAATGTTTATTAGTCAAGTTCAGGGCCATAGGTAGATTCGATAATTGGGGATTTATATTCATATATGCATGTTCACATACCGGAAAAACAATCGCTTTCAAAAGAAATCCATCGGGCAGGACACAAATATATAAAGGTTTAAACTTTCATTTAGGATAAATTGTTATTTTATTTGGTTATAAAGTGAGGGTGTTTATAATACTTTGACTTGAAAAGATACTTGAAATAGTAGGAAATAACTTCACTCTAAACATGGGTATTGCCAAAGCCTTGCTTACAAAATTCAAAGGTCAAATCCAGTATCTGCCAATATACCAAATAGTAAGACAATCTCACTACCCACTATCTGCCGAGAGGGGGAGGGGGAAATTCCCTAGGTCCGCACCTTAATAGGGCCTCAACTTGAGATTGAGAGCCTTTGAGCAGGTCCTTTAAATTGGTTAGCGCGCTTTTTAAATCCAGGGCCCCTCACAGTAGCTCAATGCAGTCTCATGGTTAAGGTCAAGTCATGGGGCCCCCAGAGAAGATTTGCCCCGGGCAAAGAAGATTTGCCCAACAAATTCTCTCGGCCGCCCTGACCCTGGATATGATATCCGGTGTCGTACATAGTCATTTCAAACCTCTTTCCAAGCGCAGGTACATTCAGTAAGAATGTCATGTTATCTGTTTCAAACGGTAGTACATTTTTAGAGGGCAATGTAAACAGCTTAAATTTAGCAATAAAGATAGGTGCTTTGAGCTGACCTGCCTGAAAAGTCTCAAATGAACATAGAAGCATTCTTCTTGGTAGTTGGTACAACACTACAATCAACTCTGGTATCTGGGCTGCCTCAGTTCCATGTAAACACACAACTTCACCAGGGCTGTAGCTAGACCAATAATTGGGGGGGGGGAGTATATATTTATATGAGCAGTATCCGGTATTCGTCCGCCGCCCGGATATCTTTCAATTATCTGGTGCAGTCCTAGCAATGACCAGATGCCAGGTGAACAATTGTGACCAACTGTTTTACCTGGCGACCATGCAGGTATTTCCTAATAAAGGTAGCCCTCGTTGCGACTGAGAAAAAAGCTTAAAAAAGACAAATGTATAACTTTAGTAAAAATCATGAGTTAGCCGGCTAATGAGGTTTTTGGTAAATAGTTAGGATTATCTACAAATTTTACTTGGACTGTGGAATAATCCCAAAATTCATTTTGTAGCCAGTTACTCACCACATAAGATTACTAATTGGCCCATGAGGGCATGTTCAAGGGAAAAGCTGGCATTGTCTTAAACAGACCCTGAGACATACAGCAAGAACTGGTTGAATTTATGTGCTTGAGTTACTTCGTATTGTATGTCAACGAAACTTTAGTGTTGTGTGTTAATTATTTCCCTACCACTACCATGAGAACGAAATTATTATGCATTAAGGATAGAACATTTTATTATCCAGCCGAATACCAGATATGTCAACTATATGGATGGAAAATATTCTACCAGATTATCCGGCCAAATGCTGGATATAGAGTGATTATAAGATATATGTAGGAATAGGATTTATAATATAGCGTTTGTAAGTTCTGTACGCTGATTGGCCAAGAGTCGTGTTGATATAACTCAATATCAACACTGTACTGAAACGTCGGAAAATTTCATTCTTTTTATTTATTTCCCAATTTCCACTTGTGTTGATAGAACTGTATATCAACACAGAAAATGTTTTATATTTGTTAAATATAAAATAAGATATCGACTGCATTTATAAAGTGATGCTTTTTATAATATATTGATTTGAAATTATACAAAAGAACTTAGCAGTCAACTAAACTTAAAGTGTTCAAATACACATGTATTATATGTTTATTATTTACTGTAACTGCAAATTTCAATGCCAGAAAAGTTCACTATTCTGGTTAATTGGTTAACCAGTCTCTCTGGCAATGTACGTGCCTTATTAAATCATAAGTGTTATCTGTTGATAGTTTAGCCAGACTTTCTACCCAAATCTCAAATATTTATTCCGACACGTCACCAACAAAAGATTAGATTGGGTTTGTTCTATATGTAAATTGTTTGATACTTCCTCATCAGCCTCAAAAATTATCCATAAAAGGTGCAGTGCACTCTTCATAATATTCTCTAATGCAATATAATTATTGTTTAACGAAAGACAATTGCTAACGGCAAGACATTTGTGGATTTTGTGCGGTACAATATAGTGACGTGTTCTTATTCTACTGTGTCAAAGTGCCATTCAGCAAATATTGGATTAGTTTCAAATCACCTGTACTGGTAACATGAACTTTAATTTGGATTGTGACTGATATAAACTATATTGAAATGATTCAACTGAATCAAAATATGTAATATAGCTATATAGACTGTAGTTTTAAACCCTAAAAATGTATAATTTAAATTTGTACTTTCTATTCACTTCTTTCTATTCACTTACAGTAATTCAGTTAATAACATACAATCTTAAGCAGCATTTATATAAAAAGGTATTTTTACATTACACTAGCTTATATTGAATATAGCTACTTTAGACATCAATTAGATGTATATTTACATCACACACCATATCAGCAGCTGTATTCGGTAAGTATGCAATGCAGTGTAAAAAGATCTTTGGAGGTGTTAATTTACTCTCGTAGTGTAGATTAACACCGAGTTGGTGTCCACACAGCTGCAAGCTATTTACACCAAAACAGCGTAAAAATATCTTCGGAGGTGTTATTTTAAGCTTGTAGTGTAGATTTAAACCAAATCGGTGTCCACACAGCTGCAGCTATTTACACCAAAACAGTGTAAAGAGATCTTCGCAGGTGTTTATTTACGCTCGTAGTGTAGATTTACACCAAATCGGTGTCCACACAGCTGCAAGCTATTTACACCAAAACAGTGTAAAGAGATCTTCGCAGGTGTTTATTTACGCTCGTAGTGTAGATTTACACCAAATCGGTGTCCACACAACTGCAAACTATGTACACCAAAACAGTGTAAAATATCTTCGGAGGTGTTATTTTACGCTCGTATAGCGTAGATTTACATGAAATCGGTATCCACACAGCTGCAAACCATTTACACCAAAACATTGTAAAAACATCTCCGTAGGTGCTATTTTACGCTCGTAGTGTAGATTTACACCAAATCGGTGTCCACCCAGTTGCATCTATTTAACACCGATTTCGATGTTGTGGTAAGACTCCCAGATTTACAGTGTGCATGCAGTTTAGGCCATTGCAATTTTTTTAAAATTTTATTTCATTTTGAAATTTATTTACTTTTAATTTAAAATATATTTTATTTATTTTTTAATTATTTAACTCTATATTTTAATTGAATTTATTTTAATATAATTTGTTTCTCAACTAAGGCATATTTTATTTAATTGCTACGGCAGTTCTCGGCCACCATATTTATATACAGTGGCTGTCAATGAAAAATATTTAAAAATGAGACAACGAAGAAGCATTAGTTCTTTACGAGTGTACGACTACTTCAGTCGAGTGCAACAAATATTACTGCAACACCAAACCAAACTTTTATTGCGGACAATAATGCTTATGAAAGCATTTGAGTTACCTTGTCGGAATTGATCATCAACGATCATTAAATCTCCATCTTCCTTTTGACAGAACTGCCTGGCTACGTCGAAAGTTTTCTTAGTGCTCACAAATTTGAAGCAGGATTTATCGTAACTTCTATAACCGGGCCCACAATATGGTCCTAACGAAAACGAGAATGCTCTAAGTATTTGTTATAAACAAAAATATGTTTCAAGATTACTAATGGGAGA